TTGTTATTGTTGTAACCTAGAAAGGGTTACTGAATGAGGAATAACCAAAATGGAAGGTGGAAATGAAATGGTAATCTTTATAACATCAACGAGATACAATACTCGCCAGCGGCGTGATGTAGGTAAACCACTGCTAGTCGTGGACTACTTATACAGCATATTACCCCCACTTACAATTGTGTCCAATGTATTTATGAGGATTGGGACATACCCATTAGTGTTAATAGGCACGGTATATTACAGTTATGATTCATTTTTAAGAGAAATTTTTTGATGAATCGCTATGTGTGTTGCGGCTGTAGATTACGCCGACAGCACCTCTGCAGAAGGGTAAGACCCCATCCAATGAATAGTCCACGGTATGATGATAAACTACATCCGGCAGCAAGGCATCTGATCGGGATGTTGAAGGTTATGAGGAGCGTGTAGCCACGTCTTAATTGCTGGTGTTCCTAGACCCACCCTGACCGGGATGGTAGCACCTGTTAGGGTCTCAGCTATGGGCAAATCGTGAACCTACAAACAAAATTCAATAAACAATGAAAATATAAAAATAAATATTTATAGCAAAAAATACATTTTTAGTTAAAAGTTATCAACAATACATTTTTTGTGAAATTATTAGCAGTACATTTTTATAAAAACATGTCCAATAATACATGTAATCTACAAGCTATATATATATATATATATATATATATATATATATTTACTATGAAAGTATAAAATAATGAACAAAATATTTGTAGTTGAAGACTAAACTTACGTACAAAATATCTAGATTTCGTCATTAAATAACCCTATAGAGGTTGATATGCCGCCAAGCAAAATCAGCCAAAAAAACACGGATTATAAAATAATGTACAAAATAACTGTAGTTGAAAGCATAAAGTTACGTACAAAGTTTTTAAGATTTTGCTATTAAATAACCCTGCCGCTAAAGAAAATCAACCATTTTCTTCTTAAATTTTAAAAATAATTCGGTTTTATTTTTACATTGCGTAACTTATTTAAACATGCAATTATTAGACAAATAAAGTTAATTTAATATTTATATCGATGATATTGTTATTCATATCAAGAAATATACTGATAATAAATTTTAATATATTAATAATTTGCGATTTTTCTTCTAAAAGGTATTTAAGAAGCAAATGTAATGTTTTCATGCTACAGATTTACTGAAAAAATAATTTATTAACATTGTTGTTTAACTTTTAACTTTCGTTTCTAAATATCTGAAATTTAAACATGGGCCGTCAGTTCTGGTCTTTAGTTGCACCATGAGTAGGCCAGTATTATAGAAGGTCATAAGTAAGATCAATATTTGGTGCTCAATATTTAAACTTTTTACCTTGATCTCTCTCTGCCTCTCTCTCTTTCTCTATCTCCCTCTCTCACTATATATATATATATATATATATATATATATATATATACAAAATACTAAATAAACGATCAGAACTCATCATAAAATTTTTACTAAGTTACTTAAAAATCAAAAACAAAAGAAAAAAGATTAAACAAGTAAAATATATGAATCCAAATAAATAAAGAAATCCCCGTCAAAATAACCGTTAGAATACACTACCCACAATGCAATAGACTGCCCACAATGCACCACTGACCCGTATATATAAATAGTTGAGAAAAATCACAACACACGTGGCCTGATGATTGCGTTTAACATGAAAACAGTCTGTCTCCTCTGAGTGTTGACTTCAGTGTTCACTTTTATATTTACATACGCTCTATCTCTGATAGCATACCTTAAGACTATGGTTCTATATATTTGCTTTAAATTGAGTGATATATATATATATATATATATATATATATATATATATATATATATATATATAAACATATAATATTAGGCAGCATATATTTTATATATAAAGAAATAATGATACATAGAATCAATATTCGCCATTAATCGTATTAATATATATATATAAACATATAATATTAGGCAGCATATATTTTATATATAAAGAAATAATCACACATAGAATCAATCAGCAATATTCGTCATTAATCGTATTGATATTGCTGATTGATTCTATATGATTATTCTTTATATATATATATATATATATATATATATATATATATAATTATTTATTAAAAAAATTAAAACATAGATATGTTATAAAATCACTACAAAAATAGCCATTTTGTTTCAACACCTCTGGTGTCTTATCAAGTGATGATTTTGAATGTAGAATGTAGAATAATTTATTCCGTATACTCCAATCATATACTTGATAATACTTAATAATAATAATTCTTTCATACACAGGGAGAAGAAAGAAAGTCTTTTACATCCGTGCGAGAAGAATCCTCTTTCGTAGAAAATTCCAGAAACCACACACCCACTCGCCAATATTAAATTAATGAAGTCCGTTGTTGAATAAGCAATAATTTTACGGATGGGAGATTAAGTTTCGTGTTCTTATTAATTCTTACAATAGAAACATTACAGATGTCTGTAGTTGCAGTTTTTTTCACCGAATGAATGAACTCAAATATTTGGTTTTGTTTTTGTTGTTTTTTTTTACAGTGTCAGCGGTGACATCGGCATTGACGCCTTGCGGGAAGACGTGGGTTGGAATGATACTGTCATCGTTGGTCACGATTTTCAAGACCATCCCTAACAATATCGTCACCTGACAACTTTCAAGAAGTGACTTCATTACTAGCGTCAGACATGAAAGCTACCATGTTAATAGTGTCGATTCTCTTGAAATAGAAATGAGAAGATTAAAAAGAAATTGCTATATGCTGTGTAACACACACAAACACACACACACAGACACACACACACATATATATATATAAATATAGGAAGAAAGAATTAAGTTTTATTAAATTCGATCTATAGTCAGTTTTTCTAATTTGTGTATAAGTTGTACGACAAAATCAAATTATTTGTGGTGCAGTCATATTGTGCGGGTGATGGGGCGTAATGGCTAGCCATCTTGTCTCGCTACAGTATGATCCTCACTGGGTGCCCCATACTTTCGGCCTTGTGCTACATCTAAAATATGTTTAGAAAATTACCATATTGTGCGGATGAGTGCTAAAAGAACAGCGAAAATCATCATGCAGCAACTACATGACGTTTTTCTGAAATTGTGAAGACACCCTTCGCATCCATCCCTCCCTCCCTCCTCTCTCTCTGTATATATATATATATATATATATATATATATATATATATATATATATATATATATCAACCTACAGACAGAAACAGACACACATAAACACACACTCAACAAACAAAACACACACAAAAACACACAACCACACACACACACACACACACATGGTGAACCCTCCCGTCGTATTCGACGTATGAGATTCAAGCATCTCAGTTCCTAGGAATCGAAAACACAGACACCAGCACATATGAATTGATTATAGTAGTGAAGGCTGTGTGCAGAACAAACCACACACAGAGAAGTGTGGGTATATATATATATATATACTCGACTCTCCCGGTGAATTCGACGTATGGGGGTCAAGCAGATCAGTTCCTAGGAAACTGACAGCCCGACACCGGCACATGAGATTCGATTATAGTGGTGAAGGTTTCGTGCAGGACCATCCACACTTTTTGAAGGGCCACAAGGTCCCCAAACGACCCTCCACAGGTTTTGCATTCAGAGTTGTCCTTCTCCTAGACCAGTTGCCATCCAAGGCTATAGAACCCAGTCTGTCCTGCTATTTTACTCATAGCTGGAGGGAAAAGTGCTAATACCCTTGAGAAAGGATATATATATATATATATATATATATATATATATATATATATATATATATATATATATAAAAGGAAATTGTGAATAAAGGCAAAAGGGCATCTTATCTCAGCCGACGCGTTTAGTCCTTTGATAAGTTTTTCTTTTGTCTTCATTCGTTTCATTTTCGTTAGGTAGATATAGTAAGAGACATATCAAATGCAATCGCATCTTCGTTGGGCTAGTCATGTTGTGGGTGATGAAAGGAGACCTAAGCTCCTCATATGCAACCAACTAAATGGTGGTAATCGCAAAGAGGTAATATTCCTTTTGAGGTACAAGGATAAAGCAAAACCTAAATTCTTTTCTCATTCTTTTGAAGTGGCTTCCGATTGTTTGAAATAAAGGAATGTGATGGTCATAGTGTGCCTGTGAATGATGAAATAACACCAAAGATCCTTATGTACAACCAACTGCATGACGGCTTTCGGAAAGTGGCAAGTGGCTTCTGATCATACCAATTGCAGGAACGTGTGCATAAAAGCCATTAGAAATTTTGAGAGGTCACGCATTGAAAAATCACCGTATTATAAAGCAGAACCTAAAAGACCAAAATTCTTGTAGACTTTCAAGTGGGTTACTCTTTCTTGTCCTGCATGTGTAATGCTACATGGGGTCTCAAGTTGGTCTTAAGAGTCATTGAAGGTACATACACAAGAATGAAGCATGCTTTGAAACCCACATGTGTCTAAAACGACGGAAAGTCCATCACATACCCACGCGCGTATATATATATATATATATAGATAGATAGATAGAGAGAGAGAGAGAGAGAGAGAGAGAGACAGACAGAGACAGAGAGACAGAGAGAATGGGAGGGAGTGAGAAAGATATTGGAGTCAGAGGTTCATCGGTGTGGGGTAGGGTTAACCAGGCTAGTTTTGTTGACTATTACTTGTGAGTAGAGATTTCGTACCTCACTATGCGTTCCATACAAAATTAAATACCTCAGCAAGAACTGACATGTAAAACCAGCTGTCAAAATACACACACATACACATAAACACACACAGAGAGAGAGAGAGAGAGAGAGAGAGAAAGAGAGAGAGAGAGAGAGAGAGATCAGTTTGACACAAGGTGAAAAAACTTAAGTACTGAACACCAAATATTGATCTTAATCACTTATGACCTTCTATAATACAGGCCTACTCATGGTGCAACTAAAGACCAGAACTGGCGGCCAATGTTTGAATTTCAGATATTTGGGGGTGAGAGAGAGAGAGAAAGAGAGGGAGAGAGAGAGAGTGAGAGAGAGAGAGGGGGAGAGAGAACGATTGAGAGAGAGAAGAGATTGAGAGAGAGAAGAGATTGAGAGAGAGAAGAGACTGAGAGAGAGATTGAGATTGAGTGAGAGAGATGGAGAGAGTCTATATTGAGAAAGCGACTTCGGTGCAATCCATCGGAAGAATAATTTTCTAAATATGCAAGTACGTATCTTGAAGTCGTGGTGAGGATCGAACAGTACAGCTAACAGTTATTCAGTGTTGTTGCCACTGAGCCATCTCTCTGCTCCAATGTCACACGTTAATTTCATCATGCACACAGACACACACAGACACACACACACACACACAAAGAACGAAGTAGATATGAATAAGAAGAAGACACAAAGAAAATATACTGACTGAGAGCGGAGAAAAATCTTGAGCAAAAATCGCAAATAGCGAGTTAATTTCATAAGACGTCGAAAGATAAGAACATAATTGAATTTGATGTATATTTTCCCGTTACCTTTTTTTTTCTTCTTGTTCGCTTTTGTGTACACGTTTCGTCAAGGTATTTGCAGTCACCATTCGCCTCCATAGCAGCCGATACGTTCTAATAGCATTTTTACAAACACTTAAGTTTATCAGATGTAGAGACAGAGGAGGAGGAGGAGAAGTAGGAGGAGATAAAGAGTCAGAAGGAGAGCGAAAGAAAAAAGCCGAGGGTAATAATATTATAAGAAAAAAGGGGAAAAACACAAAGAAAGAAAGAAAGGAAGAAAGAAAGAAGGAAAGAAAGAAAGAAAGAAAGAAGGAAAGAAAATTATAACAATTGTGAAGAAGAAATATAATGAGCAAAGAAAGGGCGAAGAAAATTAAGAAAAATAAAAACGGTACAAGAAGAAAATTTGGCTCATGATGATGATGATGATGAGGAGGAGGAGGAGGAGGAGGAGGAGGAGGAAGTGGAGAAGGAGGAAGAGTTTTTCTATCACAATTTTCGATTATGGTGATGATGACGATAATGAAGAAGAAGAAGAAGAAGACGAATAAGAAGAAAGAAGGAAGGTGGAGATTGAGTAGGAATGAGAAGAGGTCGAGAGAAGATTAATATGGAATATGTAGGAATAGAAAGAAAACGAAAGAGAATGTAATAAAGAACTGAATGGTAGAAATGTAATGCAACGAAAAATCGGCGAGAATGGAAACAAATAAGATGGCGGCGAAAGAAGAATGTTTATAGATAAATTTATTAAAGAAGAAGAGTAAGAAGAAGCAATGATGATGATACTGATGATGACATTGGTGATATAAAATGATTGAAGAAGAAGAAGAAATGATGATGATGAGGATCATGATGACGAAGAAGTAATGATAATGATGATGATGATTAAATGATAATAATAATAATAAGCAATGATGATGATAGTGATGATGACAATGGCAATATAAAATCATTGAAGGAGAAGAAATGATGATGAATGAAGAAGAAGAAGTAAACAAAGAAGAAGAAGAAGAAGAAGAAGAAGAAGAAGAAGAAGAAGAAGAAGAAGATGAAGACTGTCAGCCATCAAATCAAATATGCATTAACAGCAACAGAAAAAAATCGACAGTAAAATAAAAAATAAAAATAAAAACGATAAAAGGAAATCACCTAAAACCGACGCACATATGTCGCAATTTAATTTACTAAACGCCTTTCGGTGTTTCTACCATTTCTTGTTTTTGATGTTGAATTTTATTTTGTATTTTCCGCAAAATGCAAGATACAGACGAGATAACTTTTCCCAGTGAGGCGGCGAGCGTTTACGTTTGTCATCTTTCTTTTCAGTCTGTGTGTAAATATAAACGACTTCGTATTATTCCGGAATATCACGAAGTTGCCTCTATGGCCGTTGTCGTATCGAACGTGTCTGGTCACCCAGAGGAATATTTATATTTGAAAATATAAATTTCCAAGTTTTGTTTTCTTTTTTGTTTTTTTGTGAATAAATACAATTTAATCAATAGTAATCAATAACAGAATCAATCATTAGCATTTTCAAAGACGTGATTAATTCAGACAAGAATGATGATGATGACGATGATGAAGAAGATGTGACTCATATATACCATCCATCGCTAAAGATATATTCGTATAATAGTCGGTTTCTTGGTGCCATTCCAGAGAATATCTGACTCCTCCTGCCATGCCTTACCCCTACTAGAACCAGATCAGACCAAAACTCGAGTATTGCTTCCATATCTGGGCTGAAACTTTCCAATCCTTACTTTCCAGTATAGACATAGTTTACCCGGACTTGTGGGTGATGAATTATCCTGTACTACACCTCCTTCCACAAACAAAATACTGCTAGTCTCTAGCTACTCATGATAGATATTCTGACGAGTTACATTCCTTAGTTTCAAGCAAGAAGCACTATACTATATATGGCAACATTATTTAATGCACAGACGCAGGCTAGACTTATAGAGATGCAAGATAGAGAAAATTGTCTTGGACGACACAGTGAACCAACTTTTCTCGTATGCTCATTATGGATATTATAATATGTAAGGTAGATTGGCTTTAGACTTGAAGAGGTTAAGATCGTTGTAATAAGGAAAGCATCATTTAGGGAATTTGTTCCTCAACGTGGCAGTTCTAAGAATGAAACTGAGTTAAACTTCCTCTTTATCAATGGAATACAAGGAGATTGATGCCAAGTCAGTTCTGTGTACATGGCATAGCAGGTTCACTGTAAAGATCTGAAATGTAAAATTGGGTAATATATATATATATATATATATATATATATATATATATATGTGTGTGTGTGTGTGTGTGTGTGTGTTAAATAATAAAACTATTGAAAAATTAAAAGAATAACTTTCGGACACCCTGGGTTTTATGTTCATATTTTTTGTTCTATTATTTCAATTAGATTCTTCGACTAGATTCGGCCACTATGGCCATCATCAGGAGAAAAAAGAATCTGCTTGTTAGTAGCAGTCAACTACAGGAATGAATGACTTGATGAAGAAAATGAACTTTATCTGTAGTTTTCATTTGTTTTTTTTATATTTTTATCGTAAATTTTGACCATTCCTTTTGTTGGTCAAACAGTCTCTTTTAAGTTGTTATTTTAGATAAAGGCTGGATGGATTTAGACTGCTCTGAATTCGCTTGGTCATTTTGACAGTTTTGTTGCTTCCTGGAAAGGGGATGTGTCTCTGTTAAGTGTGTGTTATCATTTAGTTCTTCCTGGAGTGAGTATGATGTGCGTAAGGGTGTATATTTGTATGGGTGTGTATATAAGTGTGAGGGCTCAACACTTTCGCAAGCATGTCTGTCTTGTGTGGGTGAGAAATGTGGGTAGGGCCTGATTCCTAGGGTTATATATTAATTCTATCTATGTTCTTAAATTTCTGATTAAGCCCGTCTAGATGGAATGTTTGAGGCGCAAAATCCATTTATCTTCATGGTCTTCTAAAATTTTTCTAATGCTATCTTTTCTGTTTATTTCTATTTTTCAATTATACTGAATTTCTCATAGCTTTTAAAATCGTGTTTTTCTCGGCGGACTACACACACACACATATATATATATATATATATATATATATATATATATATATATATATATATAGTGTGTGTGTGTGTGGGGTGGGTGGGCGATGATAAAAATAATAAGAAGCAATGATGATGATATAGCTGATGGCATTGGTGATATAAAATGATTGAAGAAGTAAAAAATAAAAATGATGTAAATCGTCGATATTTTATATTTTTAATTTCGCGCATGCGCGTTGTTCGTTTTTTGGTTTTGTCCATTGGACAGTAGAGTAGGGCCAGTTGGGCACTTTGTCTGTAAGAAAAAGAGCACCCTGACGTAATTAACTCCGCCAGAAATTTGGAAAAGGCATGATGTAATTCTTGGCATTCGCGCCAGAAGCTCCAATACGAACATTTCAGAGTACTTGGGTGTCAATCTGAGGACAGTGCAGAGGATTCCGAAAACACTTGGTTGAGTTTCATGGTCATTACGAAGGTGTGGAATGATCACTAGTGATGGCGACGTTATGCCTCCATTCATCTTACCACAGGGTTTCAGACTAAACGCGGAGGCCTACTTCAAATACTTTGAGAGGGTAGTGCTCCCCTGGCTCACGAGTTTGACGACTGGAAGATTCTTTGTCTGGCAACAGGACTCTGGACCATGTCACACAAGCATGGGAAACCAGTCATTGCAGTCAGGTAATTTCTGCGAGTATATCACACCTTACATCGAGTCACCTAACTTCCCAGATTTGCAACCCCATTGATTATTATGTGTGGAGCGCAGTTAAGCTAGAGCCCAACAAAACTCCTTGTAACACCAAAGATCAACTGAAATCAAGGTTTATGGCAGCATTCACCAACTTAAACAAGGAGACCGTCCAAAAGGATTGCAGGACATCCTGAAGTCGTCTAGTGGACGTGATAGAAACCAATGGTTATTTTCTTGAATAAATTTAATCTTTAGTATTTGAAGATATTTTCGTGTCATTTTATTAAATATATCTGTTAAAATGATGTGCCAGCGTTATTTTCATTTTTTTGTAATTTGGACAACAATTTATCCATTGCCCACTGTATATATTTTTGATAAAATATGGTTTTAAGGTATGCTATATTTATGGGTTAAAGTGTTCAATGTCAGGGAGAGAGGGTATGTAAATATAAAATATTACATAAATATAAAATACCCACAATGCATCACTGACCTGTATATATAAAAAAAATCGAGCAAAAATATAATATACATGGCATTGCGTTTCGTATGAAACACACTGTCGCCCCTTCAATGCCAACTTTTATATATATATATATATATATATATATATATATATATATATATATATATATATATAATTTTTTCGAATATTATAACATAAATATGTTATAAAATCACTAAAAAATAGCCATTTTGTTTCAACACTTTTGGTTCTTATCAAGTGATGGCTTTG